TTCCCATTCCCCCTCCTCCGAAATTGGTAATACATTCATTGCAAACACTTTCAAGGTAATTTTACTGCATTTAGAAGGCGGGGGTGTAGTTCAATTTATAACAGCGCAATGCAAAGCCTCATACTTAGGGAAAGCATATATATAGGTTCAGCTCTGGCAGCAGCTCTCACACTGAAATTTTCCTTTTCAATCATTAAAAGAAATTTGCTATTTTTGCTTTCTAGAAGTTTAGTATCCTTTTTAGGCTTATAATTTCTCACCTTATTTATATTAAGTTAATTTATCAACTTAAAAATTATTCTAACAATGTACACACATAAAATTAAGATAGAAGCAAGGTAAGACAAGCTAGAAATGGTGCTTATCAGAACACATTTGTCTTGTATACAGTTGAAAACAAATTTTTATTTTATTATAGTTAAAATATATTTAATAGTTGCTCCCCTTAATAAATATGAACTGTTATTTAAGAAAAGACAATTAACTATTTATTAGCTATTTCTTATTTTATTTATAACAAAAAATGACAATGATCAGGAATTACCCCAGTGATCAATAATTACCCCATCTGTAGGGGGCAACATTTGATATAGTTTCCTATAATCAATTATAATGTTTACAGTAGATGTGAAACAATTAAACAAAAGCTTACAAAGCGAGATTTAAATTAGTTCTCTAACCACTAAATATAGTGGAATTTAAATTAGATCTCTAATGATTAAAGCTGGAATTAAATTAGTTCTCTAATGACTGAATAAAGCAGGATTTAAATTAGTTCCTTAATGTAATTTTCTTCAATCACGTGGAGCTTGACTTTAACTCGCCATCTTGTTTATAAACTATTAGCTGGCTCTGAGGTCACAGGTCACGTGCTTGTATATCAGTGAACTTCTTCCTCTCTAGTTGCAAATACCCAATTTTTAAAAATAATTTTTTCGTATTCTCAGAAATACTTTTATTTTAGTATTTTGAAACTTAATTCATTAGTAAATATTTCTTCTTTTTTTAAACATGATAGAATGTATTTTAAAATTCCAGGAATTTTTTCAAATTAAATAAACAAAATTTCAAGACGGAACTTTTTTTCATAAATACATTAAATAGAATTAATAAACTAATAAAATAATACAGTATCTCAAACTTATAAATTATTTCTTTTGGGTATTATCTATAATAGACGATAAATGTAATGTTACGCAAATCATGCCTTCGATTGAAAATGTAGCCATTTTTATTTTCGAATTTTAACATTTTACAAAATTTTCAATTTAAAAACTTTTCAAGCACGAATTTCTTTTCCCACTAATTTATAAAATGAAATAAACATACATAAGTCAATAACTCTGTATCTGAAATTTACCAATTATATCTTTTAGATTTTAACTATAATAAGTGATAAATATGTTGCTATGCAAATTCAGCCTTCCATTAGAAATATAGCCATTTTTAATTTGAAGTCCACAATCCCAAGAAGAAAAGTGTAAATTTTGTAACACGCAAATTTAGTTATATTAATAATTATTTTCTATTTAGCAAATATTTTAGTATGTATCGTCATACTTATTTTTAGAATACCTTTATTTTGCATTACCTTTAAAAATTTTACTGTTTTTTCGAATTTTTAAAGAAAATAAAAGTTTCTCAGCAGACGTATGTTTTTAAATTACTTCTCAATATGCAACACTAACATAGAAAGCATCATTTAAAGGTGGGATTTTATAGATTAAGTTTAAATCTCTAGCGCGTTAAATAAACCGGAACTCCAGGAAGTAACCTGCATGTCCCAGGGGCTCTATATTTTCAGGTGAGCTGCATATGACGTCACAACGCGTTGGAGAAGGGGCGGGCTGATTTAACGAAGCGAAAAATCGATGGTCTGGGTGGAATTCAAACAAACGGGCTTGCTGCGCCCTAGCTGTCTGCTACAGTTTTGGTTAATTTCAGCCCCTGGAAAAAGGAATAGGCGTTCGTAACAAAAGCTTTTAAAATTGCGCCGAGTATATTTTTCTTTATCATTTCTCTTATAATAATTCAGGCGCTTATAAGGCAAGTAATAAGAAAGTTAGCACTCATATTTTTCATAAGAAATGAGTTAAAACTAACTTTAAATTTTACCCGACTTAAAATCTATGGGCGTAAAATAATTTTCCCACTTTACTAAAAAAGTGTTTAAAGTTGGAATGCCATTATAACGTTTTCTGAACACACAACTCAATAAATGGAACAACTTAAATGGAACAACTCAACAACTTAATAAAACAGCGGAATATACTTTTTGTGTTACAAATTTTTATTTAGGATGTAAATTAATGCATTTCTATGTAATTAAAAATGACTAAACTTGGAAAAGTAATGCAATTTTGGAGCAAGCGATTTTATAAATGATAGATTTTTGTAAAAATTTATGATTTCTTAACTTTGGATTTTTTATTGTGGAATAAAATAAAACAAGTGAATACACTACCATTTTGTAAATTGTTAAAAATGGTAGTGTATTACAATATTAGTTACAATTTATTGTATTTTCAAGTTATTAAAAATAACTATAGACTGACCAAAAATATAGTTTTTTGAGTTAATAACTCTATAAATGAAGGATTATTGTTATCGTTTCCTATTTTTAGACTAATTGTGGAATAAAATACAAAACACGACAATGTACCTTGTAGCTTGCATATATTATACAGGTAACANTAAAAGAATTGTACATGAATGAAATAAAAGTATTCTTGAATAGTACTATAGATAAATAAACCTGTTTATGACGAACCAAGCACTTAGTCCCTAATATTTTAACCTGTATGGCAAGGCCAAACTTCAGTTATGTACTATTCAATGAGAGGACCAATTGAACTTGATTACTGATTTATCTTCCTTTGTTTAAATTGAAGAGTCAAACAATATTAATAAAACATTATACTTTTAAAAACAAATATTCTCTAGTATATTTAATTATCAATATGTTATTAGTTCTATGTTTATTTTACCTCTTAAATATTGTTCAGATAAAATAGTGAGATAATTTGAGTAAAAGGGTTTCGGACAGTTTTGGACAGGACGGTTTAAACCAGGGTTTAAACCGTGGATTAATCCATTCTGTCTTAAACCTTGCCAACCCTGGTACTTATGTCTGGATCACTTAACTCTCCTTTCTGGAGGCAAAGGATCATAGAAAAAACATATGTCGTAAAGGAGTTTTTGCCTAATGTTGATTCTCTAATCAAAAAATTGTTTCCTTTATGCAAAATATTTAAAAAATCCCCTTTAAAATGAAGCTCAGCAAGATTACACAAAGGAAAAGTTCAAAAACTAACTATGGATAGTGTTTTCTATGCTAGTTCTTGACTGCCTGTACTTCTGGGTTACTGTTTTTGATGTGTTTTGAAGCTATTTGGCTCACAACTTGATCATTGTGTTTTGAGACTATCTTGAGTAGTATTTCTTGCATATGTGTGTTTGTCACCCGATTTATTATTTGCATTTAAAAAAAGAATCATTATAGGAATCATCATTTGAAGACCTGTTATTTCAAAATGAAAGAATTGTTATAAAACACTTCTTACTTTGTTAACAATATACCAGCTTAGAAATTTAAACCTAAATGATAATTTGTAAATTAGCTTAAACAATATGCTAACACTTATGTATGATGGTGACATGATCTAACAGTCTTTTAGATATGCTAGAATGATTTCTTAAATTGAAATACAAAAAGCTCTGATCAATATGAGGTAGACAGTAACTATTCCTGAGCAAAAATTCCATAAGGTTCTGTGATGCTTCTCCCAATTAGAATAGCTATCAAAAGTCTTTGCTAGAGTGGCAACTGTTATCTGCAAAATCACAGCCAGCCCGCAGACCTGAGAACGAACATAGCGTTTTTAAATCTCCCAGGGTTGCCACAGGTGACTATTTGCAACTATTTTCGACCTAAGGTGACTATGGTAAATTTTTTTTGCTTGAGAATGAACTATTTTCAGGAAAAGGAGACTATTGGGAGACTTTTCTGTATTCCTAGTGGTGTTTTTTAGCATAAATTGGGTTGATAACCTGCAGCCCGCGGGAGATTCTAAACACAGTGAATATTTTTTTCTTAGAAAATAAAAAATTTTGAATTTCAAATTTGAGTCATCACTTTTTAATACTCTCAATTTGCGCAGATTTCATTGGAGGTCTTATTTTGTTTCTCGATCACCTTTGTAATGGATGTTGCTACGAAATTCTGCATGATTTAAAAAAATATATTTGATACGACATTACTATGCGTGAATTTCGAATTTGAGTAATCACTTTTCACAGTATGTATATATATATATTCTAAATCAATTATTGATAAAAGGGAAAAAAATTTTAGAAATTTTTTTTTTTTAATGACGAAAAAGTTTTTTTTTTAATGAATTCTAGTAATTAAAAGTATTTAACTTTCAGCAAATATACTTATTTTTTATATAAAAATTTAGTGCTAGAGCACTAACATTTATATAAAAATGATATTTGCCACCAACTTGACTAAATGGATCATGTTATTTTAGTTATTCAATAAATTTTTACTCATATTATAGAATAATTTTTGTTGTTTAGGCAACTATTTCCATGCCTTAGACTACTAAAAGCAACTATTTTATTCATTTTTTTTCTCTGGCAACCCTGTAAGCACATCAAAGTTGAAGAGAATATTAACAGATTTTATCAATATATGTATTTTTATATAATGAATATTAGAGGATGAAGTGGGAAATGGAAACAAGTACACTGAAAAAGGACAGATTGAAAATGATGTATCAAAGATGTCATTAACTTAATGTTAGCCATACAAAACTCAAAGGTTCTCAGAGTTCTGTACAAATAAAAACGAAAGTGACTTTTATAATCAGCAAAAAAATTAGTCTTTTAGGAAGAGGTGGTTAATGTGGTGGAATAAATTATTTTCTTTTGAATTTTGTTAATTTTTGATAAAAGAAAGTTTTAGACATTTTGCATAGTTATCTTATTTATATAAATAACTATATAACGATGTCTTCCTTTTCTTCATAGTGGATTCTTACCTGTGGCTGTTAATTTTTTACGAAGGGTTCCAATACTAGGCACTATTTTAAATTTTCCAATCTTAAATAAGGTATGTATTTATTTACGTTATTGTAATACAAAAATGTATCTGTAAATTCTGTACAGTCAAAACTGTGAGTTTTTTTTTTGTTTCTTTAAATCTAGATGAAATTAAATTTTTAGAAATAAATTTATACCTAAAGTCTTAAAAATAAAACACAGAGTGTTCCCTAGGAATAAAAAGAGCACTTCCTCTCAGAAAAGGGCACTTAACACTGTTAAAATGTATCAAAATGTGTAACATTATGTAATAACTTAATTTTATCCTCAGTTTTCAAATTACCCTCCTCTACTATTTTATATGTGTATTTTTTTTATTAAATAAAAAGGTTTATACTTAAAAAATAGTTTTAAAATTTAAAATCACTTTGAAATTTATTAATATCCTCCCAGTTGAGAATAATCCTAACAATGTAAATATTTAGAATTAAACCTATAAACTCAGATAATTTTACCAGTTTGTTATTATAATTTTAACAGTGAATTAATTTTTTTCGTAATGGAATATGAATAAAAAGGCAGGGTTTTTAAGAGATAACAGCTTATTTTTACAAAGAGGGTGCATTTCTTGGGATCAAAGGGCAAACAGAGCAGGCCGCCCTTCACTAAACAATTAGGGGGGACACTGAAAATGTTTTGTAAAAATTATTTCTTTACCATGTTTATACTTTTAAACTTGATGAAATTTCACTTTTATTGTTATAATTTAGTTTGATAAACCTTGTTTTAAGAATCACTTAATTATCCAAATTCAAAATTTGTATTCTACTCTAATAAACAAGCAATAAAAGTTGGATAATCATATTTTTGTAGCATTTTTGAGTACATGCAACCTTTGTTGTACTACTTTTAATTGCTGGTCGTAGCATAGAAATAATATAACTTTTATGACTAAGTAGAAAAAAATTTATAATAATGATGCTTTTTTATGTATAGTTCAAATTTTCAGAAGCTCAATTTGCTAAAATATAAATTTAAAAAAAAAAAGAAAACTAAATACCGTTGTCAAGTTTAAATTAAACAAATTAAAATGTTAAAATATGCAGCATCATTTATTTATTTATCATCAATTCAACTTCATTTTTAATAGTAGATATGATATTAAAGTTTAAATCTCAGGGGAATCTTTTTTTTTTTTTACTTTTATTATAAAGATTCTAATTTGTTATTCTCCTTTGATTTTTGCTTTTAAATGTAAGCCTAGCTATGCCACATTTCTTTTTCATACCATTAATTACTTATTTGATGATTTTCATGTTTTTCTCTACAGCTCTATTCTATTATGGTATTCTCTTGGTAATGTGGTACTAATTAATATGGATTTCTGGTTAATGTGGATTTATTTGTGGTTCTTGGCAATTTCTAATAATAGTGATTAGATAAACACTTTTGTTCACAATTTACTGTAATTTTTTCCCCTTCACGTTAATAACTAAGAATTATCACTTTTTAAAATACTATTTTTTTCTGAAAACGCTAATTTCCTACCCCGGATTATATTATCCTTATAAAATGGACGACATTAGTTCACTTTAAACTTATTTCCTATTAAAATTAGTAAAAAAAGCTTTTAAACTGTTTTATATTTTGCAAAACGTAGATACAAAGTGTCCTACTTCCTACCCAGAATTATCCATATAAAATGGAGGACAGAAGTTCACTTTAAACTAATTTTCGATTAAAATTAGTAAAAAAAAGCTTTTGAACTATTTTATATTTTGCATAACGTCTATACAAAGTTTCCTACATAGAATTATCCCTATAAAATGGAGGACAGACGTTCACTTTAAACTAATTTCCTATTAAAATTAGTAAAAAAAGCTTTTAAACTATTTTATATTTTGCATAACGTAGATACAAAGTTTCCTACCCAGAATTATCCCTATAAAATGGAGGACAGAGGTTCACTTTAAACAAATTTCCTATTAAAATTAGTAAAAAAACTTTAAAACTATGTTATATTTTGCATAGCATAAATCCAAAATTGTAGTTTTATTTTTTATTTTGTAAATGTATCAAAATCCTATATGCATGTCAATAGTTTGCACTAAATAAGGATACTTACAGTTTTTTTTCTTCTCTTTTTTTTTCTTTTGCTTAGCTTGGTTAACATCCTGCCAATGGTAATTAGCATTTTAGCTTTACTCTCTATCACAATCCTATTTGTTAACTTATACAGTGAACTTTCTTAAACTAGCCATTCTTTTGTTGATTTTAATACTTTTTTTTTGCTAGTGTACTAAGGTGTGCATGCTCTACCCTGGCTCAAAATTACCAGTAGCCTGTTGGTTTGGGATTTATAATATTTGACTCAAACCACCAGAAATTAAATAACTGTGGTCTCTTGGACCAGCAATCAGTATAAAAGAATGGTATTCTATTTTGGATTTTTTTTTATTGCTATTAGTATTTTAAGTTTCATGTTTTGGTCTTCGGCATCCCCGTAGCAGAATCACGGAGACATTGTTGCAGAACGTTCCACAGTTCTTGCAGAAAGAAATTTCTTTTAAAAAGTTTTTTTTTTAAAAAAAAATTATTATTATTACAGAAATTTGAATTATGCATTTAGATAATCACTTTTTGACACTCTCAATGTATGCCAATAGTATCCTAAATCTATACAGTCGAACTCGTTTATAACGAGCTCGGATTTAACGAGGGAAACGAGAATATTTGGTTGGATCAATGTTAAGTCTATGAAATAGAAGTCGCTTTTAACGAGAAAGACCCGGTTTTAGCGAGCAATATTTTTCTGTCTTGCAATATTTTTCCTCATCTTTTATTAGTCTTTTATTGGTCTTATCTTTTTTTCAAAATTATAAGAAATGCGCGCAAAATCAAAAAAAAACGAGAACTGAAACTTAATTGCCCTTATCGCTCTAATCTAAAGCATGGGAAAAGTCACGTGAGAGTAGGCGGTCATGACCGATAAAAGTATTTATTTAAATTTAGCAATCAAGAAAAGTATTTGATTAAATTAATTAATGTAAATAAAGTAAGTAAGTATTAATTAAATTTTAAGTAAACCCCCCCCCCTCTTCTGGTTGCACACCTGCCTCAAGGACCCGTTTATTACGAGCACTCGGATTTAACGAGTACAATGTTACGGTCCCTTTGTGCTCGTTATAAACGAGTTCGACTGTATAATGTATCGATTGTATTTTTGGCAGTTATTGATATTGATTTTCGCATGGATTTTAAATATCCCGATATATTTCAAACAATATGGAAAATTCGAATTGTGCATTTGAATATTTACTTTTTAAGGCAATAATTCTATTGAATTTTTGGCAGTTATTGCTGTTGACTTCTCTATAGTTTGTAAATCCAATATTTTATAGTTTGTAATACAATATTATTTATTATGACAGCCTAATCTCGAACATACATTTGAGATGTCCGATTCGCGTTATTACGTTGCGATCTTTTTTTTTCTTGTGATGATTACTTACAAAATGAGAAGGAAATAATTTGTGCGTTCCCCACCATACAACAAAATGCGAAAATATCACCTATAATATTAGAATAAAATTACATGTTAAATTTTAAAAAAAATTATAATTAGTTTTTTTTTTTTTTTGTAAACACACTGCTTTTGTTATTTTAAATTTGTAACATATATGTTTGTTATTATTAAAAGTATCTTGCAGAAAGATATTAGTGCTAGAGAGTTTTGTTGCAGATAGTTCGAAAAAATTCTGCCACAGGGTTCGGCATAGTTACAAAATAGCATGTTTCCTCATAATTGTGAATGCTATACATTCAAATTTTCATTTAATTTCTCTTTGTTTTAACGAAAAAATCTAATAGAGACATGTTAATGGATCAGAGAAAATATGTACAAACTAGTAATATTTTATAGTCACTAATCTGTGGGCCAGTGACTAAATTTTCTTAATTTCTACCATTACATTCTATCAGTTTTTCCCTTCATATAGGTAGAACAAAAATATCATTAAAATATATTATTCAATAACTTCTAAATATTTATTAAAAAATATTTAGAAGTTATTGAACTTCCATTCAATTTTTTTCATAGAAATAATGCATTTAGTTCCACTAACAATATTAATTTTTAAAATTGTCATTACATATTTAGCTATTGCTTAGCCTTAAGTTCATTTTACAAAGTTGCGCAAAATATTATAAGGATTAATTTAATATTTTTGTGTTTTATTTAAATTGGCCCTATAGCAGCTCTGAAATGAACTTAATTACCTTTTTTTTTATTCCAATTCAAATATGCTGTATTTTCTGTGGAAGGACTAATTTGTAAAATTTATATTTTAAAACTAATTTTTATTTTATTTAAATTTTATTTTTGTTTTAATTTGCTAAAGTTTAATCATTGCATAATTGTTCAGAAAGCAAGCTGCTCAAAATATGTTTTGACTGTAAAAGTACCGTTAAGTTATTTATAATTAATTCATTATATGGCAACTTCAACTTCTTGTGCCATCAAATGCCACGTTTAGTTCAACTCTTTAAATAATAAGTTATGTGTTTTACACCATCTTAACTGAAGCATGTGAGCTGCACAAATGAATCAAAAAGAATAAAATTAAAAATACTATGTGTGAATTATATGTTTAAAAATGTTCTTACCAATACACATAAAATTTAGATCCCATTAATAATAAGTATTTAATCTATGCATACTTTAAATAAATAGCTATATTGTATAGATTTACAATGTGTTATGTAATTCCTTTAAAATTATCTTATTAGAATTTTTTTTTTGCAATTTTAAATCAAAAAGTTATTTATTTTATTAATTTATCAATTTTTAGTATTTTTTATTTTAATATTTAGTTTGATATTTCTTAAAACAAGGTTTATGGAATACATGTCTAACAAAGTATTTATTTGATATATTTGTCACATCTGCCTGACTATTAGAATTAGGGGTGGGTTCTACAAATCCTGGGTGACATGGTGATAAAAAACTTATCTGTCTCCAAATATATTAGTTAAGTTTATTATGAAAACAAAAAGTTGTTTTATTATTTTCTATTACATAACTTGCTAGTTCTTAAAAATTGGTCCCGGCTCGTAGAAATTTTTTGTAGACCTCTCTCTCTATTATGGGCTAATTTTATGAGCTAAATATCTTTGCAATTTTATCATTTCTTATCTCTAATATTTCTAAAAAAAAAATACTTTTTTTGGTAATTATGATAAATTCTTTACATTTGTTGATTGTATTTTTTACTACCTTGTTTTCTCACTTAAAACAGATATTTTTTTTTTGTTTTGTTTTTACATAAAGCTCAAGTCTTAACTATTTTTGACCTTAGGATAATACTTCTTTATATTTTGCGACATTCATTGGAGTAAAAGGAAAATATTTGAGTGCATCAGTTCCTTTAAACCATGTCTTAATAAGGTTAATTCATTAGTTTTTTTTTAATATTATAAATGATGTTACTGCATTTAGTAAGGTTAACAAGAAATTGAAGGAGGAATAAAATTGCCATTAGAACTATTTTTAGAATCATAATTTTCTCCTGGGTTGCTCCCATTATTTTATTCTTCACGCCATGAATTCTTAAGCATTAGGTCGTACGGACCCATGGGTCTGGTCGAAATTCCTTACAAAAAACATAGTGTTTTATAAGTAGTTAAAGCCAAGAATTCCTTTATTATCTATTTCAAACCTACAATCTGAATATAAGGTCTTCGATATATATATATAGTGTAACTCCCGTTTTATATTATCTGTTTCGTGCATTATCCTGCTATGTCATTTTCTGCTGTTCCGTGAAAATTGCTTACATTGATAATGTTTAGATTTCCCTGATTTTATGTCATCCTTTTGAAGGAAATCCTGCTTGATATGTTTTTCTTAACAAATCAAAATCCTAACAAAGCTCACGCTTTTTTAAAAAGAGAAAGAAAAGTTTGCTTGTCTCACCAGCTAATGAACTTTTTTTTTTCTTTATAGATTATTGATTATATTGCTGGAGATCCAAACAGATCAATGGTGTAAATAATTAAATCAAAGTTTTAATAAAGTTTGTATAAAAATAAATTCTGTAATCCTTTACTCACAAAGAAATGTTTTTTTGTATATTATACAAATGTTTTGTATTTTATGTTTGCCATGAGGCCATTGTATGTATCATCTCCTTAAACTTCACAAATCACTAAATTATTTATATTCCTATCAAATGGTTTTGTTATTTTTCATTCATAAAACGTGTTTTTGTTTTAGAAATGTAAAATTATCTTTATAACTTATAATGTGAAGAAAAAATTACCTGCTAGATTTTTTCTTTTCTTTATTTAATAATCCTTACTCTTTTCTGCAGTTATCTCTAACTCTAAAAAGTAGGTGTCGACCAAAATTTCTTTTAATGAGAAAAAACAATTACATCCCTCTGAACTGTTGGCACAATTTAAATCACTTAATTTTTTTAGAGTAAATCATTAAGTCGAAAATATTTATAAATAAATATTATTTATAAATATAATTTGTAGGTTCTGATTTATTTTAAAGTCTGCTTTCATTGATAATAGAGGTTTATCCAAATAAATAATGAAATTGGGATGTATGTAAAATTATGCTTCAAACTAAACTGAGAAAAAAATATTGGCATGAAATTTTTAAATAATTTTCCATTAGCTGTATATAAAATAATTTGCTGGCAATAAACATATTTCGATTATATCCATTTGGTTTTATGTTTATTTATATACAGGTGCTTTTAAAACTTATTAAATGTGTAGTTAGTGTACATCGCTGATGGAAAAAGAGATGTTCTGCTCAGAGAAACACAATTATTATTTTTTTCATTGGTGAATTCCAGTCTGGACTAATTTAATCTTTATTGGATGTCTGATAAATTGCCTCCCCATCTTTAAAATCATTTTGTTAATTAAATAATAATTTTAAACATTTCAGATAGAAATAAAGTATTTTTGCTGTATTATTGTTTTTAAATNCAATTTGGGGGAAAATAAAACAATTTTATATTTTTCAAACTTGGAGGATTGTTGTGAGGAGTGCAGTTGTCAACTAAGAGAGCTATTTTTTTCTTCTTTCTTTTCATCTCCTTATCCACATCAAGCAGCCAGTTGTTAAATATTTCTTCTGTCATCCAGGCTCTTTTGTTTGCCTTGTAGTCAACTGGTAAACTTTTCACATTCTTAAAACATCTAGGTTTAGCGTATTTGCCTATAACGAACGGCTTCAGTTTATCGGTTCCAGTACTGTTTGCACAAAATAGAACAGTTAACCTCTGTTTTGATTTTTTACCACCTTTACAATTTTCTCCCTTAAATGCCATTGTTTTATCTGGCATGAGCTGATAAAATAAGCCAGTTTCATCAGCATTTCTGACGAAGCTCTCTCCCTCCTACAATACCTCTTTACCCATTTCTACTGCTCTAATTTCCCCTAAAAGTGGCATTTTTTCTCAGAAACAACGAAAGAATATTACATACAAAGGAGATGAAAAAAAAAAACATTTTGTTAACTAACATTTAAGCTCGATGGGGAGTCGTTTTCCAACGGTAGAAAAATCGGAATGGAACTATCAACTATCAAAAGAGGAAAAATTATCGTTGTAGGCATGTTTAACTGAAAAGTGGTTATCGCTATAAACAGGTTAAAAATACATTGAGTAAATAGGAATTTCACCGGGACCTCAAGGAAATATCGCTATAGACAGGTTTATCGTTATACACAGATTTCACTGTATTAAAAATTTAAAAAAAAGAGTTGAATGCAAAATTTTAAGAAAATTTAATTAAATTCAAGAGAAGGAAAAAATGTGGATCAAACTGGTATTGAAACCATAGTGTTGGCACATTTTGAAATTTACATTAAAAAATTAATTTTTGAATTTATATTATATATGTAAATAGATAACCTGAATTAAAAAAAATAGTAAATAAATGTTAAGATCAGTTTCTTCCATGACTTTACAATAACAATAATGAGCATCCTAAAATTCTCCGAAGATTTGAAATTTGTTCTATAAAGTATTGGCAATGGAACAAAAGACAAGTGACAGCTCAGGGACTACAAGAAAGAGCAACACTTTTCCATTGTTATTACCCAATTTGGTGATCCCATTTGATGGACATACTAGAACCATTAACATTTGATTTTTTTATTTATTCATTTTTTGAGCAGAGGGGGAGTTTTTAAAGTTTATGCCGACACATACGCTTCCTTAGGATGAGATATCAGTATTGACAAAATTCATTAATTTTTATCTGAAATGGTAAATTTCAACAAGAGTGTATATGAGAGCTAAGCTCTTTCTCATTACCAGTTATGCTTCTCCCTATATAATCTTATATTGCATATTTAACGGATCGATTAAAAAAAAAAAAAAAGAGTTTTAAACTAAAAACCTGTATTTTCTTTCAAAATGTAATCTTACTTAATGAGCTGTCTCAAGTTTTCTTTAAAAAAAACTACATGAACAACAAACATTATCAAATCCAAACAAATCGCTGCAGAAAAAAATGAGAAAGTCATTTAAATGGTTGCCTTAATTTTTTCTTCTGACAATCTAACGGATTTTGATGTTTTTTCTTATCTTAACTTGTGAATCCCCAAAAGTGTATTTTTTCGCAATCATTTTTAACAAGGATTTTAAAATATTTATAAAGAGAGGGCGATAATGTGGCCAATGCATGAATATATAAAACCTTTATATTTAATATATTTTTAACAGTGTGTTTTGAAAAAATTAATATATGGTAACATATTATTTAAATAGATCAAAATTATTAAAATTTAATTTATTAAATAATATTTTTATAAAATATGATAATTAGTTTCATACATAGAGTAATTATTACAATATCATTTTTATATATAAAAATAAATTCATAATTAAATTTCATTGTTTCACTATAACAATGCAATTTTAAACAAAAATATAATCTATAACTGTCATTAGATCACATTAAAATACTTGAAACAATGTATTCACACAATTTTTTTTTATCCTATTTAGATATATGAACCAGCATAATATTGAATACACTTATATGAAAAATATTTCACTAAACCTTGAAAAATTATGGTTTTGTTAAAAAAAAAAAAATTTCACATAATAAATAGACATAAAACCAGTTATCACCAAACTGTAATTGAATCTCGCCGTTCCACCATGGCAATGTAATTTTTAAAAATATATTAACTATTTGTAAATCTAATTATAACATTCTCGGTATAATAGATATGGTGTTAAACAATTTTCATTTCTTGTTTAAATATTATGTATAGCGCACCAAAAAGAAAAAGACCACCCTGGATCAAGTGATCGGATCCACACATTCTAGGACTCAATCTTAATGATAGGAGAAAGGATTTCAAATATGCTTATTAATTAGTGCAGACAATATTTTAAGTAACGAAATCAGACGCAAAAATCTTTTTCTGAATAAACATACTTTTTTTTTGATGGATTCTTCAATTCTTTTAAAAAGTTCTTGAAATATAGCGAAATACGCAAAAAGTAAAATTAACATTAAAGGGTCCTAACTTTAAACCGCTCTCCTGATCAAACTATGGAGACCAAATTACCCAGATTTTATCTACCCCCAATATTTTGGGGATCAAAAATCCAAATCCGTTGAAAAAAAAGGTATGTTTATTCAGAGAAAATGTTTTTATGTCAGGTTTTGTAATTTAAAATATCGTCTGCACTAATTAATTAGCCTGTTAGATGTTACCCTCTTGAACCATCGAGTCCTAAAACGTGAAGATAGGATCACGAGATCAAAAGTTATTCGGGTGGGTCTATTTGGCGCACTGTACATAAACCAGCAAAATATTGCAATGCATTCAAAATATGAACAAGGTTAAAAATACATAAAAATGTTTCTCAAATCTTAAAGAAATACAAGTAGTTTGCTTAAATAATTTTAATACAGTACAGAACCCGTTATCCGGAAAACCAAAAAACCGGAACAAAATTCGATAAATTTTCCCGCCATTTAAAAAAAAAATTTTTTTTTTTCTTTTCCTCATAAGATTTTAGGATTTTTCTTTTTTGAAAGATGTTTACCTTCCCATCATTTTGGATATAATCATTAGTGTATTACTTCAGTTTTTTTTTTTTTTTTTAGTTTGGTTTAACAATAAGAAAAACTGCTTTTTGTAGCGATTCAGAAAACCGGAAAAATCAATAGCGATGGTACCAATCGTTCCGGATAATCGGTCCCCTATTGTACAATAAATAGTAAACATAATAGAAGCAGTTATTACTAAATTGCATGAGCTAAATTGAGTGATACTTTCCTGTTTGCTGCACTATTTTTCTATAAGAGATGTAATATTTTATAATACTTTTCTTATATTATGGAACTTTTTATTAAACATATTACTTGAAAAATATGCCTGACATTAAAAACTGAGGGTTTATTTTTAAATTACTTTGAAAAAATATCTTCACAAAATAGAAAGAAAAAATATATATATTTTTTTTAAATCTGAAATCTGACTTTTTTGTAATTACACTCTAAAATTTCCTAGAAACTAGTATCTAATTTTGGCAGCCAAAACTAAAATCCTGTTGAAAGATTAATAAAAACAAATATCTACAAATGTATTACATAAAATTTATTTCAATTTTCTGATTTACTTAGTGATAAAAAGTAATGTATACAAAAAAAAGTTTAATAACTATTATAATCATAATGAACTTTAATTATAAAACACAAAAAAGAATGCAGCAATATGCAAAATACAGAATGCACTACATAAAGCATCCTAGCATTAGGATATAATTAAGTAATGCTATCAAAAGACAAACATACCAAAATATTTGAACTAAAATATCTAATATTCGAATATAACTCAATAAAACATGTTATTTTGTATAGTTTATGTAAAGTATTGCAAGCTGTTTGCCTCCTGTTGTCACTCTTTCATACACAAAAACCAATCTAAAATTTTATTTACTTCCTTGAAATTTGAATTCACACTTATTCTGATTGAAATAACTACGCAAGTCTTAGCAGAAATGTGCAACTAATTGAATGCAATACATTGACCACGCATTATAT